CCTGCGGCATGTGGGATCTTCCCAGACCAGGGCTCGAACCCATGTCCCCTGCATTAGCAGGCAGATTCTCAACCACTGCGCCACCAGGGAAGCCCCCCCCCTTTTTTTTTTTTTACATCTTTATTGGAGTATAATTGCTTTACAGTGGTGTGTTAGTTTCTGCTTTATAACAAAGTGAATCAGTTATACATATACATGTATTCCCATATCTCTTCTCTCTTGTGTCTCCCTCCCTTCCACCCTCCCTATCCCACCCCTCCAGGCGGTCACAAAGCACTGAGCTGATATCCCTGTGCTATTCGACCTTTTAATATGGAAATAATGTTATTATTTGTAGCTACTCTAGATGAGGTGAGGGTATTATTGTTAAATTTTGTAGATGAGGAAATGGAAGCCTGGGGCATTAAATAATTAATTCTAGGTCAAATTGGTGTCAATAGTTGGAGCTGGGATTCCTGCCCAGGACTGTGCTGCTCCCTAAATTGGGTGATGATCCCAGCTGGAGAACCAAAAGGTAGGGAAGGGACATGGAGCTTCTCCAGCGAGGGAGTCAGTGGCAGAAATACAACTTTGTAGAAAGAACAGAGGTACAGGAAAACATCCCCTTGAAGCAACGGCGGGTCAGGGTGTGTGGTGGGGCTGGCCATGCATGGCATCTGGAGGCCTTTGGGGCTGGAGTGTGGCCCCTGTGTCCTCTTCTCTCATCACCTGTCAGCCCAACTGGCCAGGTGCCAGTAGCTCTGTTCCCTGTGACCTGCTTCTGGTGCTTAATGAGCAGCTCATTAAATTAGAGGGAGAAATAAATTGGCCAGAAAGCTGTTTGGTCTGGCTGTCCAGTCACTTGTTTAGTCTGACCACCACTAAGAACTCTGGGTGTGTGTTTTACCCTGAACCCCCCAATTCACTGCTAGGTCTAGGCTGCTATTTTCTTTTCTTCTCTCCCTTTCAAAAGCTGTTTTGCCTGTAACTACAGTTGTTGAGAACTAGGGCATGTGATTTCTGTGTAAAAGACCGTGCCTGACTCTGTCCTTTTGTGTTGAATGGTGCCAGGCTAAAGTTGGGCAGGACACTGCGGAGTTTGGTTCCTGGATGCTCTTGTGGATTCACAAGATGCAGGCCTCCAGCTTGGCCCTGAGCAGTATCTCGTCCTCAGAGAGAAGCAGTTACTATAAGGATCATGGATGATACCTTACGTCTGTGAAATGGGTCATGCCTTGCCAGGCCCTTTAGACGCCAGTCTCCCTGATCGTCTCTGGAGCTCTGCACAGGACAGTGCAGATTGTCTCCGTTTCACAGAGAGGGAAGCACCTGGAGTGAAGGGATTGGCCTGAGGTTGGCCAGATTCATCTTCTGAGTTGGGGTTCCAGCAGCTGTACGGATTCCTGTTCCTGCCCCAGTGCCACACCTGCAGTGTTGACTCTGAGCTAAATAAATGGACTGTTGATTTGACTGGTGTTTTTCCTCTCTCTTTTCCGCATTTCTCATTGGTTCCCTCGCCATATAGATTTTCTTTTAAAATTTATCTGTCTTCGGCATCTTTTTCTTTTCTCATGTGCTTTCAAAGATTTTTTTTTTATGGTGGTTAAAAACACATCACATATTTAACCGTTTAAAAGTGTATAATTCAACAGTGTTAAGTATATTTACACTGTTGTGTAACAGATCACTCTAAAATTTTATCTTGCAAAACAGAAACTCTCTACCCATTGAACACTAATTCTTACTCCCTCTCCCCCCAGCTCTTGGCCGCCGCCTTTACAGTTTCTCTTTCTGTTTATTTCACTTAGCATAATGTCCTCGAGGTTCATCCATATTGTAGCATGTAACAGGATTTCCTTCCTTATTTAAGGCTGCATAGTATTCAGTTGAATGTATGTAACACATTTTCTTTATCCATTTATCTGCTGTACCCTTGGGTTTCTTCCACCTTTTGGCTACTGTGAATAATGCTGCAGTGAACATTATTCACAGGAGCATGTGAATAATGCTCCTGAACAAAACAGGATCTCAAAGAGATATGCACATATCTCTTTGAGATCCTGTTTTGAATTCCTGTGGATGTATACTCAGATGTGAGATTGCTGGATTATATGGTAGCTCTTGTTTAAAATTCTTTGAGGAACCTCCATACTGTGTTCCAAAACGGTTGCACCATTTTAAATTCCTGCAACAGTATAAAAGGGTTCCAAGATTTTTTTTTCTTCTCAGTCACGTGTACCTTCTTGGTACACAGGAATTTAAATAGATGAATAGATGAGTTTTCTTTAAATAGATGAATTGTCTTTTTCTGTTAAGGATTTGTTGGGGTGGGAACCACTCAGCACTTGGAGTGTTTCTGGGTAGTCTCAGGGAACAGGACATGGATTCACAGTGGATTGCCAGGTTATTTGCTGTCACAGGGGCCTCCTGCCTGAACTACCCAATGCCAGGGTGTGGGAGTTCCTTATACTGTACTTCTAAGGACTAGATCTGGGGCTGTGAATGGTTGTAAGTGCAGCATTAGCACAGTTGGCATAGTATGAGTTGGCACATAAGTAGATGAATTCATCAGCACTTCTTAGAAGGCCTCTCCTTAATTTAGCACTTTCACCTTCTGCCTCTCTAACACTCCAGGTAGAACCACTTCTGGCCTGGCCATGCCCTGCCCTGGTCACGCAGTGTCCCTTTGCTTGGATGCACAGCTGTTGGTCAGGCTCTGGTGACTAGCGTGGCATGTTCCCAGGGCAGGGTGTTTGGAGGCTGCTTAGAGTGGAGACCATGCAGGTGAGAGCCTGAGACCTGGCAGACAGATGGGGGAGGAAGAAGGGAGGAGCCGGAGAGCCAGCCCTACTCGGCTGGGGAAGGGTGTTTAGTGTTTCCTTTTGCCCTGTGGCTGATAGTTATTATTCATATATATTTATAACTCGTACATTTACAGCTTTAAACATACTTT